ATATGTATGTATACACGACAACTGTTGAGGGACAAATGTTGTTTTGCAGTGACCTTTTTCTGTCCCACTCCACAATGACGATCCATTTTGACATTTCCTCCAGGTACCTGGTGAAGAATTCATCCACCCTCTTGACTTCCACCGATTACGAGGTCGCGCCCCCAGAGTACCACCGCAAGGCCGTGTGAGCGCTCTCAGCACTCTCGGCTCCTATTAAGAGACCTCTTTACTCCACATGTAGAATAACATTTACTTCCCCTGTGAGTGCAGACTTGGAGGACATTTTTCCCCTGAACTGATCCGCTCCCTCCACAAAGGTCTCAGGAGCTTGTCACACTCAAAAAAAAGTATTTTTTAGTTGAGTCTCTCTCCACTTTTCTCTCTCTTTGTTCTTTTATTTTTTTTCTGTTGACAAGTTACTGTTTCCACAAGCAGCACTTAGGTGTTTTTAGATATTTGTTACTGTTGCATGTATGTATTTATTAGCGTTCGTTCTGCCACACGAGGTGCAATTTAATGCTGGACCACATGGTCATCACTCAGCAGTTGATGTTTTTGTATCTGTATCTTGTTCATTTGTATCAATTTGTAAAAAAAAAAAAAAAAAAAAAAAAAAAATGTTTCTACACAATTGACATGGTTTACTGTGTTGTTCTTCTTATAATATAAATATGAATTATTTGTGGCATCACTGTTAAATGAAGGAGGAAAGGCTGAAGAATCGCCTGCAGCAATGTGTCAAGAACAAAAACAACGGAGAGACACGTTTAACGGCAGGTAGCATTTACGCTAGTCGGTTAAATATTTACTCAAAGTGAAGAATGCGACATTATAAAAGATAATAACATTCCGCTGCATTTTATTGATGAACCCAAACGCAAATCTATTGCCGAAGGAGGTAACACCATCTATGGCCCGCTGATTAAAAAGTATTGCAATATTTATATATTTGCAGTATTACAAACAGGGTGTCTGTGGAAAAATGCTACATTGCAGTTTCCTCCATTGTATACACACACAAAAATAGAACTATGCACACAATTATGAAAACCTGAAGCTCATGTATCAACAAAAATACTTTAAGCACAACTACGATGTTCTCACTCAATTAAATGAAAAACCAACCAGGACTGGATCGCCACTTTAGATTCCACGAGACTTTATTGTCTCGATTCTGTCAGTTTATGTGGGCTTCTTATTATCGATCTATTCATTTATTGATTGACTCATTGCTTTAGTATTGTGTGATTAGACATCACAAGGGGGCAGAGTTTCCCCTTTTTGTATATTTCTTTTAAACACTTGCTGTCTACCTGATGTTTAAACCTGTTGGAGGAAGGAGGCCTAACTGTGAAAATACTCCACGAGTCTTACAAGCGAAGGGCCTGCATTCAAAACCTTCCATCAGTAAAAGTATAGGCCGGTAAGTATTATCAGCGAAATGTACCAACGGTAAAAGTACTCAATATGCAGTAAAATGGTCCCTGTCGGTGTTTTATATGATGTTTTTGGATCAACATTATTGGTGCATTAATGTGTAGCCTATGTTGCATTTTGCTGCTGTAGATGTTTATGGTTGCGCTTATTTTAACTATGCCTACCTTATTAACTGTTTAATATACAGCAATACATCATATTCTATGAGATCATCATATTCTTGTAGCGTTGCTGTCCTGTGAGAACCACGTATCTCTAAACAGCCCTGTTCTCAGCTGTGTGATGATGCATTTTCCAGCTGATCTCGGAGGGTTTTTGAATACATACGTTGAATACTTCATCCTTCAGTTTATCACAATCATTCAAAATCTGGACAGGAAGGGGTTGAACAAACTAATCTGAAAAGTAAGTAAAGCTGTCAGACAAAATAAAGTTAAAAGTACATTATTTGCATTTGAGATGGAGTGAAGTAAAAGTACAAAGTTGTATACAATGGAAATAGTAAGTAAGTAAAGTACGCTACAAGTACCTCACATTTGTACTTTAGTATTCCTACAATACATTGAGTAACAGTATTATTACATTCCACACCTGCCCACTTCCCTGTTCATTTGTATGTACGTTTGTGCTTATATATTTATAACAACAAAGCATAAAGCAAATATTAATCAAATGTAAACAAGGAACAAGGACATGTACAGAAACTGAAATTTACACAACTTTAACTCAATGTTTCTATGCTGAACAGCCAAATCAATATTATACTGAATACCATCAGCTTTTCTAACCTAACCTACAGCGAACATTAGTCTCACTATACCCACTCTACACTGTAGGAAATGTTCTCACAGATGAATACTTTTTATCCTAGATGTTTATTGAGGATAAGAGTTAGTCCAATGTTTGGGCGAGGAAGTAGATACGTTTGAGATATTTCATTTGTTTATCTAAAGCAGCAAATGTAGACAAATGAGGCACATTATTACAAGACAGATAAAATACTGTTTGTGCAGCATAGTTAAGTAAATAGGTTTAATCACTGGTGTTTATAGTTACATGCAGATAGATATGACTGTTTATATTAGGTAATAAATGCAGCAGTGGAAAGTTAATTTATTCTCGGAGGTTGTTGACACGTTCCATTTATCTATTCTAAGTACCAACAGTTCAGATTATTCACTGATTTAATAATTCAGTGTAAGAACACATCATTAAATGTCCTTGTACTTTACTTGAGTATTTCCATTTTATGGTAATACTTCTTCTTCACTACAATATTGTAAGTTTTAGCCGACTACATTCATTTGACAGCTTTAGCAACTTTGTAGATTCAGATTATTGAGATACAAAATGTAAATGTTTTGTACTTTTACTTCAGTAAGAATTTGAATAAAGGACTTTTTACTTGTAACAAAGTATTTCTACACTGTGGTATTACTACGTTTACTTTAGATAGATAGATAGATAGATAGATACTTTATTAATCCCGCAAGGGGAAATTTTTTCGCTACAGCAGCATTTATGGTACAGGTAAAGCAATAAAAAAATAACAGAGTAAAACATATTCAATGTAAAAAATGCAAATATAAAAATGCACAATATATACAATAAAAATAACAGTAAAACATATATATATATACATATAAAAATGCACAATATATACAATGAAATAGAATAATATAAAATTTTAAAAAATGAAGTAGAAGTCTGAGTACTTCTTGAATATTTCCTCCTAAAATGCATTATAGAGTTATTGAGTGTAAGGTTCATAACGACCAGCCAACCGCAGTGCAGTAAGCTCGGTCACCTGTGACACAACAGACAGAGCGGTTTATTAACCATTTTAATAGCAGGTGAAATTTACACTGCAACGCTAAATAGTTTCCGCTGAGGTATTCCCTGTAAACAACAGATAATGACACCAGATCGTTCATAGATTCAAACATATTTTTTTCAAGGTGTTTCGGTCCTCAGGTACGCATGACGTCATTCCAGGTTTTCCCTCCCCTGTCCCAGGATGTCTCACACTTCTCCCAACTGACACTTTAGAAGGAAGTCCCGCCCCTTTCCAGGTCACCGATTGGATCAAAAGTAACACAACGCGCGTGTGCTTCAGTTTGATTGGCTCCCGCTGGTTGTCAATTCAAAAAGGGCGAGTAGAATCTGCGGTCAGGCGTCAGGTGAAACTCGCTCTGTGACGGGAAAAGGGGGAAAGATATAAAAAACGTACTTCGTCTGAACTTTCAGGGAAGTTTTTTTTATGCTATTTATGAACTTATTAACCAAAGGAAACTTTTAATACTGCAGACCAACACGCCACAAGATGAAGAGCCTCAAGTATCGACTGAAAAAGCACGAAGTTACCATCACTGTAAGTTGTCTTTTTCTGTATCGAATAATGCACGTTTTGCAAAACATCCCCGGACTCTTACTATTGAATCGAGTGTGTGTTCATCAACGATGGCGTTGTGTTTTAACCGGTTTCAACACCGGGTGGGGTTTATTGTTTGTAAACCTGACCTCTTGTCCCCAACAACCACGTTAACCGCGGTCATGTTCCCACGGAAATAAAACACGCCGCCAGTAACTTTACGCACCTGCGACCTTACGCGCGAGTGGTGGATGTGGCCTCTGACACAGTTGTATTACTCTGCATCCATGCGGGTTCAGGTTTGTTCATGATCTGGCCTAAATCAGGAGCAGCTGACGGTGTTGTTGTTGTTGTTGTTGTTGTTGTTGTTGTTGTTGTTATTGTTATTCACAAAAGCTCATTAAATCAGTGCAGCAAAGCGCCTCCTCGCCTGGTTGTTATCACCGCGAACGCACACAAATAACCCCGCTGTAGACCCCTGGAAGTTGGGGTTTAACATTTGGGTTGTTCTTGAACGCAGCAGCTCACCAACAGATGTCAGATGCTTGTGAAGTTTTCTGAAGGAAACCTAGTTTAAAAACTAATGCATCCTAATACAACAGTAGTGGAAGTACTCTCATCTTTTACTTGAGCGCGAGTAGTAATACCACAGTGTGGAAATACTCTAGTTACGAATACAAATTAGGCAATCAAAATATACTTAATAGTATCAAAAGTAAAGTACTTATTATGCACAATAGCCCATTCATGAATAGATTAATGTCACTTTAATGTTGCAGTTTGGAAAGGTGGGGCTGATTTGAATGACTTTATATACACAGCTGTGGAGCTTAATCCATAATTGTACATCATTAAAACTACAATTCATTGCCTCTGAAATGTAGTGCTTTGTGATCACTATGTGCTGCTGTTGAGTTGTATTGGGTTGTACTGAGAGACGTTTCAATTAGTTAGTCCACATTAGCATGTCAAATCTGCCAATAATCTTCTGGAATATTCGTTTTTGCTTATAAATGTTTGTCAGAAACAAACATATGTAGTTTACCATCATATATGTCAAAGAAAAGCAGCAAATCCTCGCATTTGAGAAGCTGAAACCAAATGCTGTATGGCATTTGTGCTTGACTAAAACAATAAAACCATTATCATAATACTACTTCATTGATTATTCAGTGAATCATTTCAGCTCTACCACAAACTACAGCCTCAAAAATGACCACAAAGTTGAATCAACATCTCTCTTTCACCAAAATCTGAACATTATAACCTTCATGAAAGTCAGATTTACTGCATGTTGTGAGAGACTAAATTGTTTTTTAGCAAGGTGTACCTAATAAACTGAGTGTATATCTTTTTTAATAAAGAAATGCAGTTATCCTGGCATAAAATACAGAAAACTTAAAATATTTCATCTAATCCTAGTATTTGTGTAGAATGTGTTGTGGGCAGCCATCACGGCTCCGTGGATACACCATAAGTCCCCTCAGGAATGTTGCATTGATTTTGTTGCCAAGATAAGTCTGCGTGTGTTACAGACCGGAGTATTGGATGAATAACACTGTATCGTGAATATCTATCAGGTCTATGCTTCTCAGCTGGAGTGACTACACGATAGGCCATCATTTTGTATTCATCCTTCACTGTCCAGCAGCAGCCTATATGAACTCAGTCATTACAATTCTGCACAGTTCAACATGCTGTGGGTGTTTGGCACTGCACTCTGTCTTTCAGCTCCTAGCAATTACCATGAGAAAGGCACAAAGCCAGAGGAGCTGTGTGTGGTAAACTGTCTTTTTAAAAGGGAGAGGAAAAGAGCCCTTCGGCAACAAAATGGTATTGTATCCACGTTGAGGGTTGTCTCCCTCCGTCCGTCCGAGGCAGCCATTTAATATTCAAGCCTTCAGCATTTTCTGTCCTGTTTTGTTTCAAAGCTACCTCGGGAACAGCTTACGGTAAGCCGCCTTGAGGAAACACCCGTGACATTTACGCAGGTCTGTCTGAGTGATGATTCTATAACATTCCCATTGCATTCCTCTGTGCAGGCAGATATATCAAAGGAAGAACTTGAAGCTACTTCAAGGAGCCTTCATTTTGTGTTGGTTTTGGCGGTCCCTGTGGATGAAAGTGGTAGTGTTTCCGATAGTGGTATAACTGACCCCTGTTGATCCGTACAGATCCCACCTCACGGATTAATTACACACATTAACATTAACCATCACACTGTGAAATAATCTTTTACTGACGATCTCTGATAATGTTGCACTGTAAACAACCAATCCTCACAGTAACTTCAGAAGATGGTAGTACCCTTACAAACATCACTATAGGTTTAATTTAATTTGAAATGTATTTAAAGACGTACTGTATCTTAGTTCTGATTTTTATGCTGCTAAATGTAAAGACATAGTTATCATCATCAGATCATCCCCACCTGAAACTTAAAAGATAGATAATAGCATCAATGAGGCGTTTAGACTGACAGCATCTCATCTTACTGTAAATGTTTTCAGATGCATGCTTTCCTCATTGCTACACAATGTGCAGGAGGTGAACTCACTCACAACTTCCTGGTGGGGTGAGTAATAATTAAGAAAAATGAATCTGTGTTTTCCGAGAAGGAGAGGCAAGGGGGGGATCCAAAGGAAACGTGTTTTTAGTATTTGAACACGCTGTAACTGAATTCCGGCCTCTTCCACTCTTTGTATTATCTTTTCTATTGTCTCCTCAAGTTATCGTATATGGATTCACTTTGATTTTCTTAAACAAAGAAGCCCTGAACTGCCTAAAACTAGAAGCCACAAACTGCCTATTCGGACTTGACATTTTCCTCTTTATTGAATTCTGTCATTATTCATCAATCTGGTTCACCTATCAAATATTGACAAGAACTTATTTCAGCCTAGGAATGCAAACTAAACCATTTTAAGGTAGCTGAAAAACAAACTGGGTGACCAGGATACAAAATGCTAAGACATTCCCTCAATACCCGCTGCAGATTAAAGCCAGGCTAAGGTCCGTAGTTTTGGCTCAAGTTTCTAGGCAGGTGTTCAGTTTCAGTCATTCTCTTCTGTGGAAAACAGTTTTTTTGTTGAGTAGAAAACTGTTTTTCTTGAATCCTAAAAGGCTTCTCATGACGAGCATTGTCACGGAGGCTTATAATTACCATTTGTTCTCAATGGAAAGAAAACAAGGATTTATGATGTTTGACAGAGACAAATGTACGACTAGCACTTTAAGTAATTATCAGTGAATCTGTCCTTGCATCTGTTTATTTTCTAGATGAATAAGCTAATTGTTGTATAGTGTAGATCCCAGTTTCCCACAGCCCAAGATGACTCCCTCAAATCTCTTGTTTTGTTCGACCAGCACTTCAGAACCCAAAGATATACAAGTTTACAAAACACAAAACAGAGAAAAGCTGCAAATTCTCCCATTAGAGAAGTTTGAACCAGATATTTATTACATGTTTTCCTTTTAAAGATGTCTCACAACAATTCATTGATTATTAAAATAGACACTCATGTATTTAATGTATTGATTACCTGTTGCAGCTGTAAGTAAAAGAAGATTCCTTATTTATTCTCCATTTAGCCCATTAAATTGACAAACATTCATATTTAACCATCATTAGTTTTTGATAGATTTTGGCAACAACGTATAAATGATATAATCAGACTATTGACAAGCAGATCCCCTGTCAAAATAAAAGCAAACAAATATGTCCAAATAAGGCTGACCTCAGCAAGATTAAGATCAAATGTTTGAATCTGGTTGCACTAACATTCTGCAAACACCGCCGCTGGCCACAAACACAGACTGTCTAAAGCAACATGTTGGTTGAAAATGTTTCAGCTTCAGTATCGACTGAAGCGGGAGCAGACAGGAGAGCTCCTGGGGGAGAATACGGAACTGGATAGTTTTGAGATAATACTCTGAGCTGTCGCACAGCTTGCTGTCACAGCGAACATCTGTTCTGTAAATTGCGGAACAATATTCGAAGGAGATTAAAATCAGGCTGGTTCATACAGTGAAGGAGAGAGACGCTCTATCTTTCATCGACTCTGCAGCCCACCTGAACTGAGGTCTTTCTGCTCATCTATAGCAGCCTTGTGTTGGGTCATTTCAGAATGTTTTTCTCAAGATCTCAATTCCTTAGTTGCATTTTGCTGACTGGAGCATGAAGAGAAAGTTCTGTCATGTTCAGCATTGATTCTCTATGCAGTATTGATTTGTTCCGTTTGTGTCCTCGTATATCTCTTGCTATATATGAGTGAGTGTTTAGTATTTTGCTCATGCACTCAGGCCTATGGGCCATGCAATACATGTTTTTGTTGGCTTCTCTCTTTCCCCACATTTGTTGTCGCTGATACGGTGAGAAAATATGAATATATATTTATAACTTGGTTATTGATTTATACTTTATTTACCAGAAATGTCCCATTCAAATACAATATCTCGTCTGCCAGGGAGTCCTGAAGATGGGCAGAATAATAAGCTTCATATACAAGTACAAACGGGGACAGATGATGTGACTAAAAACAACAGACAAAAAACAAACTAAAAGAGTCAATGCAAATCATGGCACTTGTTAAAAGAACAACATTGTTCTGTAAAAACTGATTTCAGTATAAGTAGTTTTAAACATGTCAACAGAGGGTAGAGAAATATTGATATATCTGTGATCATCCAACAATATCATGCCTACGATATACTTCTAGAGCTCTGATACTGTGGGTCGTGGTTTAGTGTTTGGATAAATGTTGGGATGTGATGGAAACGGTTATTGGGCTGAAATGAAAGTCGTTCAGTGCCACACACCGTACGAACCGCTGGCGTTTGAGTGTGTGTCTCACTCCCTGTGGAGCAAAAAAAACTCATTCATGTCGGTTGACGTCTTGACGATAAAGATCTCTGATCACCGACTACGTTTTCAAACGCGTAGTAATGCGATTATGGCAAAAACGGACACAAATTATTCTGATTAAGATGATTTCATCAGT